TGATTGTGCACAAGGTGGGTTCTGGCTTTTGAGCCCACCCTACTCCTAAGATTGGGGATCACTGCTCAGGACCCAGGGCCTGTTAACACAGGTGAGCTTGTTTCCTGCGGCAGGACTTGTGCCACCTGGCTTGGCTCACATCAAACTCCCCAGGAATATCAGTGGCCTGGCCCTTGTTCTTGGGCTACTAGTTTGGCCATTTAGGTAAAGTGAGTGGGGAGGAGTCCTTCCAATGGGTTTATGACAGAAGGGCTGTGTCTCCCAACAAGGCCAAGACTCAACTAAGCCCCTAAAAGCTGTCATTCCTCTTCCCACCTCAGTTTTTGAATGAGATTTAATATTTAATGTGTGTGTGGGGGGGGTGTGTGTTTAGCATTAAGATAGAGGGAAATACAGTTCCTGATTGCCTGGTGAGATAAAGGGTTTGGAAGCAGCATAAAATAATCAGTGTTTAGTTGCTTGGTAAGATCTGTTAACATCCAAGTTCTTGTGAAAAAAGAAATAAGAGAGAATTATCACCAGTCTTAGATATGCACTCTTCCCACTTGCAGGAGAAAATAAGAATTTGCTCTAAGCAGGCACATAGCATTCTGTGATGTGCCAGAAATAGAGGGGCCCAGCCCCAGCCAGTGATAAGCTTAGCCCTTTATATCAGTAAGGGATTGTTTGGTCGCTAGTAATAGAACCACCCAGCTTAGGGTGGCATAATCAAATTGGGTGTTAGTTCTCTCACAATACAGGAGTCCAGAGGAGTGGGTAGTCCAGGTTGGTACAGTAGCTCCATGATACAATCAGGGACACGGGCTCTTTGTCACTTTGTACCCAGCATTTAGCTTATGATTTTTATCCTTATTTTTGTCACCTTGCAATTGAGCAGAATGTCTAAATTCCAGGCAGGAAGAAAAGAAGGGTTAGCTTGGCCTGAGTCTATTAAAGACTTCCTGGAAGACCCCCACCTAGCAATTTCTGCTTATATCTTATTGGCCAGAGCTATGTGATATCACCCTCAGCTATAAGGAAGGTTGGGAAATGTAAGGTTTTTTGCTGCGTACGTAGCTGCTTTGAAAAAATTGGGGCAAAGAAGGAGAGACTAGATACTGGGTAGTCAAAACATTTATATTTGGGGGCATACTGTATGCCAGACACTGTGCTATGCTCTTTGTCTGCATTGTCTCCTTTAATCCTCGCAGCTCAAGAAGGCAGGGACTGTTGTCCCATTTTTATAGACGAGGAACTTGAAACCAGAGAGGTCACTTGCTTAAGGTTACCCAGCTTACATATGGTGGAGCCAGTTCTTGAATCCAGGTCCAACTGGCTCTAAACCCCATGCCCTCTGGGTTTGTCATTTTCAAAAAGTAATACATTAGGCTAAAATGGTCACTGAGTGTCAGGCATTCTCTGTGTTTTTAAAGTCACTGATTTCAGGTGTTCACGATGATAGCAGATGTCAATGACCTGCATAGCAGCCCACCTGGGAAAGACTTGCATGGACTTAGCTAAACATCTATGTTCTGCATGGCCAGGTCCTCTGAGTGACACTGTCATTGACAGCCGAGGGGTGCTTCATTCTTTGCCATCATTGTACTAAATCGAGCATTGCAGATTTCTTTTGTGACAAGTGTCCTGATTTGAGAAGTCATGTGTTAAATTGTTGGAAATGCAAGGAGACAGGGAGGAAACTAGAAAACCTTTTTGACCTTAAATCCCATAATTTAGTAAGTTAAATGTTTAAGTTAGGTAAGACTGGGAGTAGGGTACATATCTTTCACCTTTCTTAACTTCACACAAATGTGTGTCTTATGTAAGACCCAGGAACCATGGGACTTAGGAGCTATTCATAACCCCAAAGTCTTAGGGGCTAGAAAACTGCCTGGTAGCAAGTAGACTACTGTTTTTTTAGCGACCCCCTAAAAGTTTGTTTTGTAGTCAATGCTGGTATTAATAGGAAGAAAAGGATTTATCATCCCCCTAACAATTTTATCTCCAGCAAGTACTGGCATATGGGAGTATTTATACTCATGTACTCACACAATAAGGACTAACATTTATGGTTATAAAATTAGTAGCAAGGTTGGAATAGACTAGAAGACTCCATGATTTGGGGGTCAATTGTTTATGAGAACAGTAGTAAATGTGGTTCCCATAATTAAATAGGGCTTTAGAGTCATCTGGCCTTGAAGGCAAAGGCTATTTTCTGTACTGCTTTCTTTACCCCACAAGTGCCTGTCACAGTGGGGGCTATCTAGGCACTCAGTAAATACGTGGTGATTGATTAGTAAAGAAAGAAAAATTCACATTATAGTTGGTTAGGCTGAGACATAGCACCCACAATGCTTGGGTCTGGAGAATTCTTCATTTTCCTTCAATTCTAATGTCATACGCATAGGTGGCATATTTGTTTCGCTATCTAGCTTTTATGACAAGGTGCTGTTTATCTTTGGGGTATGGCTAACAAGGAGATACAGTTACTTGGGTTTCACAATTGGAGTAACCACTGGAAATAGCAGGGCAGGTGAAACCAAAGCAGTATGCTAGGCTATAAAGCTTCAATGACTTGGCTAAGGTGTGACCCAGAGGGCAACCAGAGCTTTAATCATCTCTGCAGCAGCCTTAGTTCATCCTCTGTGGGTGGTTTCTTGAATTTGAGAAATAGTAAAGAAGATAAAGGCCAACTTAGGCAACTTGAAGACTGCCAGTGTGGGTTACACTGATCTGATTATGGAGGATTAAAGGATGAAAGGAAAAACAAAGGTAAAAACCTCTCACGTGTACAGAGTTGTGGAACAGAGTTGTCTCTTTATTAGCTTACAGTAAAAATTACGTTTTCTTCAGGTTAGGCCCCTGAGTATTTCCCTACTACTGAAGCTTATAGACACATTGAATGTTAGTGATGGAAGGGCCCTCAGAGATCAGTATTTCAGTATGTCATTATAGAATGATATAATAGGCAGGACCCCTTCCAGTATAGGTAATGGGAACCAAACTCAAACTAACTTAAATGAAAAAGGGGATTTATTGGTTCACAACCAAAATGTCCAAAGCTATATCTAGATTAGGTATGGCTAGATCTAGGAGCTTTTTAGGATTCTGTTTCTCTCTATCTGCTTTCCTTGGTGAGGACTTCATTCTCAAACAGCATCTTCCCACATAGTTGCAGCAGCTCAAGACCAGCTCCAACCTGAGCCCCAGGGCTAACTCTGATTGACCTGCATTGGTCAGCCCCTGAACCAAGTACTGAGACTTTGCAGCCACAGCTGGACATGAGCAGTAGAGTGAGAGCACCCAAACCACATGTATTGAGAGTGGGGGAGGGTGAGCCCCAAATGAAAATTGCAATGCTCTTATCAGAAGGGCAGTGGATACAGGGTGAGGGGTGCGGAGGAAAGATGTCCTCTAGTGATGGTAAAAGGCGGTCCAAAGAAGCATTAATTCTTTTCCCACAAAGCTAGGGGTTTCCATGGAAAGGGCATCAGTAGTACACAGACAGTGAGAAGTGTGATTGCTTTTCTCAGTTCTCCATGCCAAAGTTAAGGCCAGCAGGCCTACACAGTGAGAAGCAAACCCTGGGCTGGGAGTCATATTTTCACTTTATGTCAACATTCTAACTAGCTTCCAGACTGGATTGATTCTGCCCTGAATCTGTGCTGATTATTAGTAGTTGAGGTTCTGAAGTTATTGCAGACACACTTGGGGTCTGGCCACTGAGCTGTAAATGCACCAACTTTTCTGTTATTACTCTCATGTTGGCATGTAAGACCCCTCTGGCTTGGCCACTTGAGGAGTGATAGCTTTTAAGGGTGTGACCTTTTCACTAAGGAGTATAGACACTGGCTGCCCCATCTAAGGGTCCCTGGTCATTTTTCTGGTCCATCTGGGCTGGGCTGGAGTATGTTCCCTGCCTTTCCAGTATAAATCCTGCAAAGCTTGTGGAGCCACTGTTGTGTGCCCCAGTGCTACGTGATGGGGATGCAGACAGCCAGGACTCTGTCCCAGGGAGAAAGGCAGCTGCAATAGGTGGCCCTGAGAGAGGCTCCCTGCACAATGTCCCAGAGCTCATCCTGTAGCCTCAGTGCACACCCTGACCTACCACCCCACCGCATTCTCCTTTTCAGTTTCCAGGTTCACGTGTGTGGGGGCCAGACACACACATGGAGAGACAGCAGAGAGCAGAGCCCAAAGTATATGGGCTCCACACTACTCCAGCTGTACGAGCTTGGACAAATGATCAGTCCTCCCTGTGCCTCAGCTTCCTTACCTCTAAAATCTGACTAATACTAGTTCACAGAATTACTGTTAGGTCAGTGTTATTGTGGCTTCCTGTGTGAGCTGTTCCCTGATAAGCTGTCATATAAAAGGGCTGCCATGCCTGTTCTCTATTCACCGTCGCTGAAGAGTGTTAATTATGCTGTCAGGTGTACTCTGGGCTGTGACAGACACCAGCAGTAGAGATGCTGGGATCAGAAGCTTCCTGTCCAAGCCCCACATACACAGATGGACAAGTAGCAAAACGGGAAGGCAGGATCAGTAGCACAGGGTGGGATGGGACCACAGAAATTGTCTTCATGAGAATGTCACAGGTATAATTTACTCATTCTTTCATTCAGAAATTTTTATAGACCACCTGTTCCATACCAGTCATTGCACAGAAGTTCTGGGTATAGGATGACTGATCAGATGGGCCTCTAGCCAGAAGGAACTCATAGTCTAGTTGGCGCTAGATTGAGTGATGGTCACCCAGTTATGATCCAGTGTGATTAGTGTGCCAATGGGGTCAGCATAAAGTCCCATTCTAGACTGGAAGTGTGTGTTAGGGGTGGCTTCTTGGAAGAGGTGACATTTAAACCAGATCCTCAAAGGAGTAGAAGTTAGGCAGGCAGAGTGAGGGCATGAGCACGAAAGGTGTTCTGGGCAGAGGGAACAGTCCATACCAAGGCCTGGAGGTGATGTGTGTAAACCATGTTCAGTGTGGAGCAAACCGAATGTGCTGCTGTTTGTTGCAGGGACATGGAGAAGGTGGAGCGGCAGGCGGTTCCCCAGGCCAACCACACAGAGTCCTGTCATGAGTGTGGCCGCGTGGGACCTGGACACTCAAGGGATTGTCCTCATCATGGCCATGATGACTTCTTCAGCTTTGAGAGGCAGGAGCAGGAGGGGGATCGGTACCGTTCCCAAAGGGACCTGCTGGAGAGCAAGCGGGACAGGAGCAAGGCCAGATCTCCATACTCGCCGGCCGAGGAGGATGCCTTGTTTGTGGATTTACCTGGTGGCCCAAGAGGCCAGCAGGCGCAGCCCCAGCGGGCTGAGAAGAATGGTGTGCTGCCTGCTTCATATGGCCCAGGAGAGCAGAACGGGACTGTTGGGTACCAGCGGGCCTTTCCTCCCAGGATCAACCCTGAAAAACACAGCCAGAGGAAGAGCAACCTGTCCCAGGTGGAGCACTGGGCCAAGGCCCAGAAGGGGGATGGCAGGAGGTGAGTAACAGACTCAGGATTGCTGATAATAATGGGCATGATAATGTAGTGACAGTTGCTGGCATTGACCCAATACTTGCTGTGTAAATGCCAGCCTTAAGCGCTGTACCTCCATTATCTATGTACATCCCCATAACTAAGCCAGCAAGGAGGCAGTGATATTCTTAATTTCTAGACAGAGAAACTGGGGCTGGGAGAAGTGAAGGAGCCTGCCCAGGACACATGGATAAGTGGCATAAGCCAGAGTTCAAAGCCGATCTGTGAGCCTCCAAAGCCGTCACTCGATCACACACTTTTCTGTTCCCCAGGAAGAATGCCTTGAGACATTCAGCATGTAGATGGTCTTCTCCTCTTGTGCTCCTGCTGCTCTGCATCTAAAAAATATTTGTAGAAACCCGAATAAATACAGATTCATTTTTAATTCCAGGCACATAGAGAAGTGCTTAGGCACTATTGACATTAGGCTTTATCACACCCATTCCTTCAAGAAGTGGTTTTTAATTATTCAGAAGGTATGCATCTCTTGCTGTTTGCAAAGCACTATCTTTTTTATTATAATTTTAGATTAATTAGGACACGTTTGTGAACACGAAGAATTCAGGGTCACCAGCTTCTCTGTTGTCCCCAGAAGCCACTGTGTTTTGTCTTCGTTATGAAGACATGACAAATTCCCCTCACTGTCCTCAGGCTTCTAAAATAAACCACTGACAAGAGAGGAGATAGCAAAGCCAATGTGCATTCAGAGAGCTCCCCGGGGGCTGGAGTGGTCGCAGTCAATGTGCCAGTGCTCAGACCAAGTCTGCCACAGGCCTAATAACATGTTCTAAAATGCCACACTTCATTCTCCCTGTTGGTGAGGCCCAGACTTTCTAGCTGTGGGCTCTGGAGGTGGTTGTGCTCCTAGAAGAATAGCCCAGGCCTGCTTCCAGGTATGTGGGTGTGTTGTGCATTTATGGGTTGCTATAAACCCCTTTAATCTTATCCAGCTGGGCAGTTGTAAGGGTGGACAGTGGATAAATCACAATGGAAACCCCCTAAGTGACTGATAGACACTGTTATGGAATAGACTGGGAGAATGAAAGGCCTGTTGTGTTGTAGCTAAGATACCTTCCCATTCCCAACTGGGAATTGACCAGGTGTCAGTCCTGTTTCTTCACATTTTATGTCTTATTGAATACAGAAAGCTACTGCTCAAGGACCCAGGGAAGGGGAGCTGCTCTCCTTGGTGCTGGGCTAGGTCAGGCCCCTGGTAGGTGGTTGTAAGATGATCTCACTGCTGATTGAGATTAGAAAGTTGGCAGGGTGGTCTCATTCAGGTCCTCATACTCCAAGGTGAGGGATTTGAATTTGAGAAAACAATAGGGGGAACCACTGAAAGGTTTTAAGCAGATAGGTGGTGTGATCTAACTAATATTTCACGAAGAATATGGGAGCCTAGGGAGGAGGCTGTTGCAACAGCCCAGGAGGATGACAATGGAAATAGAAAGAAATAAACAGATTCAAGGTACATTTTGGAGGTTGAAACAGCAAAGCTTGCCAGTGAATTGGATATGCAGGATGCAGAAAAGAGAGGAACAAGGATGATCTCTAGAATGTTGACTTGAGCAACTGGGTGGTTGCTGAATGGGGAAGGCTAATGAAGAGTTTGGGGGGGAATCAGGATTTCTGTTTTGGACACAAAAGTGGGGAGGGCCACAGTGGAGTGGGAGTTAGCATTCAGATTTGGCTTGCTTAGTAGGTAGGTGCCATGCACCAATGTCAGCATAGAAGAGAGAAGTGAGCTTGATGAGGAATGTGGCTCCTGTGCAATGCCCAGGTGGAGATGGCCAGGAGATTATAGGGAATGTGAGTGCAGGCCATAGAGAGATTTGGGAGTCATTGCCCTCGAGGTGGTAACTGACACCCTAGCAGTAGTTGAGATTACCCAGGGTGGAAGCTTAGAGCCTAGAGCCATGGTTCTTCATCCTAGCTGCACAACTTGATCATTTGAAGCCCATTCCCAGAGATTTGGATTTAATTGGTCTGGGGTAAGGTCAAAGCATCAGTATGTTTTCAAATCTCCCTAGGTGATTCTGGTATAGCGGCCACAGTCAAAAACTTGTTTGGCTACACATTGGAATCACCTGGAGAGGTTTAACATCTACTCAGGCCTTAGTCCCGTGCCCAGAAATCTGATTCTGTTGGTCTGGCTAGAAGCCTGGACATCAAGCTTTCTAAAAACCACATCTTCCCCTTCCCCTGCTCCCCTGCTGATTCTATTATGCGTCCAGGGTTGAGAATCCCTAGCTCAGAGTGACCAGTAGCAGAGGGCCAAAGTCTTAACATTGAGGATCCCCAGCCCAAGGTTTAGGCCAAAGTCAAGTCTCCATATAGGAGATGAGTGGGGGGATGGAGGAGGAACATGAGTGTTGTGTGGGAGAGAGTTTCAGTTGGAAAGAGTCCAGTCAGCAGGGCAAGGTGCTGCAAATAAGGACTTCTGCCTGGGTGTGTCACCTTCAAGAAGGCTGGGTACACTTGACGGAAAGTCTAGAACCTCAGGGTTTCTGCTGGTCTTCTGCTCAGTCGCAGAGGCCTTTGTTCCACTGCCCTGCTTGTGATAGGCTTAGATGAGCAAACCTGAATTGCTCTCCTTAGTAGAGCTAGAATTTCGAAGTTAGGAGGGGAAGAAATCAGTAAGATGGTGTGGCCACTGAGAGACCTTTGTGGCTGGGGTGCAGAGAGGACTTTCAAAATCTGGGTGGCTGATATGCAGTTATAAGTTGTTGGCTATAAAACGTGTCTATGTAAGTGTTTCTGGCAGCCCATATCCTGTGTTATTTTGCTCCACATAATGACCTGAGTTTTGCGGGGGGCAAGGGGTGTGCATCAGGGAACTGAAGGATGGGTAGTCAACAAGAAAAGGGGGAGAGGTGGCTGGGGAGGCGCTGGACTTCCTAGGTTTATGAGCCGTTCCTCTCTAAGGGGCGGGGAGACAGCAGGTCTGTAGAGGAGAACAGTTCGTTGTCTTTGGAGGTCACTGCACACATCAGGAAACGAATTCAGTCTAGTGGTGGAAGCAGACCTTAATGGGCTAAAAAGTGAATGAAAGTAAATTAAAGGCAGAATGTGAGAAGAAAGAAAGTGCTCAGTCCCTAAGTGAACAAAGTATCTACTCGGTCCCTGATTATTCCTTATATCTTGAAAGTTTTGCATCTTGCGTTCCCCAATTTTTTTTTTAAAGATACCTTAGCAGTGTCTTACAGTAAGTAATAAATAGATCTGGCTGCTTAATAAATAAACCTCGTCTATTTTCCATTTGAAAATATAGAGGATGGCTATCTCTACTTTGCCTATAATTAAGACTGTGCTAGTCTCTTTAGACTGAGCACATTGGAGGGAGGGTTTTTTGGACGGCAATGTGATCCTGTGTTCTCGGCTTTAGACTACACAGGGCATTATTTTTAACTGTTCTTTCAGTACTTAGAGATACATGTTATACTATATTTCACATCATTAAACTCTTTTAGAATATGGCTTGTAGGAGATAGACTGACATACTCTTTGAATCTTAGCTATTTTAAGAGCTTGTTTTGAAATTCTAGCCTTCCATTCTCCCCAACCCCATGTTTAAAGTAATGCATACTTGTAAAATAAAAAGGTGTGGGGGTGGGAGTTGGGGGTAGGGTCAGGGGACTCAAACACTGCAATAAGGAACAGAGTAGAAAGTGAAAGTCCTGGGTAATTGATATGGAAGTTAGGGTGAGGAGTATCTATTGCATAAGTAATTGGTTATAAAAATGATACTGCATTTCAACATGACTTTTTATAGTGACTGTATCAGAATATCCTGTTTAGCGTTCATTTAATGATGGGGAGGTGCTGTGGCCACAGAGCAGAGTGTGAGAAGACCTTGAACCCTAGTTTTGGGTAAGGCTGGGGTGGGGGCTGGCAAGTGGATCTGCTATCAGAGGCAAAGCTGCTCTGGAAGCTTGCTCCTGTTCCCATGGGGTCTCCACCTCATCTTATAGCACTACCTCCTGGCCCTTCCTCCACCATCGGTTACTTACCATGGTTTGGCCTCTGGAGCCAGGGCTGACCATTGTACTCATATCTTGGGGTCAGCCCCAAATGGCAGACAGTGTGTAAGTATAGGGCACAGGTTAGAGGGTGAGCTCAGGGCTTTGGGACACTGCTCTGTGGGAGGACTCTGGCTTTCCAGACCTTGTGGGCAGGCACCAAGAGTGGGTGGCAGGTCAGACAGAGGGGCATGAGGGTGGAGACAGCTTGGACAATACTCTGCATGGTTTGCATTTTGCTTCAGGCAGAATGAACAATGGTTGGTAAAGTCCCACCCGCCCGAACTCCCAAGGAAAGCCCCCGAGCCTGGTTTCTGCCACTGCCACCACCTCTGTTGGAGGATTCAGGGACTGCCCCTGTCTCCAAGACACATTCATGCCTAACTTTGGGAAATTGATAGCAAATCCTGCCATCTAGTGGTGAGCAGACACTCCCGACAGACTCCACAGGTCTGGGTTGAAGAGGTCTTAAGAATACTTCCTGCCATTGCAAAGATAACCATTAAAAGAGGAAGAGCTACCATATTTGAATGATAACTATTTCTAATCATCACAATAATTTATTAAGTGGTTATCATCCTCATTTTATTGGAAGGAAAGTGTGACTGTGAGGACAGAGGAGACACTTACCTAAGGTCCTATAGCTAAGGATGATTAAATGAATTCACTTTTAAAACAATTAGAACAGCATTTCTCAAACTTCAGGGAGCATGAGAGTCATCTGGAGGACTTGTTAAAATAGCTGGCAGCCCACTGGCAGCTCATAAACTTACTCCTTCGTTCCAGAATTTCTGATTTGGTAGGTCTGCACTGGGACTGATAAACCAGCATTTTAAAAATGTATTTTATTTGTAATTGACAGATAATAATTATATATATTTATGGGATAAATGTGATGTTTTGGTATATGTATATATTGTGGAATGATTACATCAAGTGAATTCTATATTCCTCACCTCAACTGCTTTATCATTTTTTTGTGGTGAGAACATTTAAAATCTACACTTTTAGCAATTTTGAAATATGCAATGCATTGTCATTAACTGTAGTCAGGATGCTGTGCAGTAGATAGCCAGACCTTATTCCTCCCAACTGAAACTTTGAACCCTTAGACCAACATCTCCCCTTTCGCCATCCCTGTCCAGCACTGTCCCAGCCTCTGCTAACCACCCTTCTACTCTCTACTTCTGTGAGTTTAACCTTCTTAGATCCCACATATAAGTGAGCTCATGCAGTATTTGTCTTTCTGTGCCTGGCTTATTTCACTAAACTGCATTTTTAACAAGCTCCCAGGTGGTGCTGATACTGCTGACCCATGGGCCACACCTGGAGTAGCTTTGGTGTAGAATAATGTCTGGCATAATCCAAGCACTAAATAAACGTTTGTTAGGTAAAATTGATAAATAAAGGTAGAATCGGGATTTGAACTCAGCTTTTTACAACATCATGCTACCTCTCAGGTAGCATGAGTTTTAAGGCATAGTAAAACTCCATGCTTTGTCCCTGCTGAATTTTTCTTCCTTCTCATACAATCAGATGGCTAGTTAGTGATAGTTTTTGAAATCATATCCAGCTTTCATATGCTGGCATGTTTATTGAAGGGCTGGTTATGCATCAGGACTTTCTTAGACTGTGGACAATACCACAGAGTGTGAGATACAGTGTCTGTCCTTCAGAAATTTTCAGCTTAATCAGGGAAGAGATGTCTTGCAAGTATGAAAGGTCATGTCAACACAGGACCTTGGAAAAGTTACAGTCTGATAACTAGGTTAAACAGAGCAGGAATACTGAGGGTTGTGCATTGCTGAAGGCCCACGTAGGAGAGGCAGGACCGGTGTCCTGGAGAATGGGTGAGATTTGGGTAAACAGGGCAAGGGACCCCATACAGGTAGGGGGAGGATAGAACAAGGTCAAGAAAAAGGAGGGAGGGAAGGGGAAGCACACACTGAAGGACCTGCTGTGTATCAGACATGGCGGTTGCATTTCCTAACCTGTCTCATTTATTCTCAGAACAGACTTAGGAGGCAGGTAATACTGCCCTCACATTACAGGTAAGGAAATGGAAGGCAGAGCAGTCACGTGGGCTGCCTGAGATCACAAAGCCAGTGAATGGTAAAGCTTGGATTCAAACCCAGGTCAGATTACCTACCTTTGCTTTTCCCACTGTGAGAAGTTGCTCAGGTGTGGAGGAGCCTGGGCCAAGGAGAGGTTGTGGCCCCTCTCTCAGGCACTGGCAAGTGTGGGGGCACACCTTGGAGTACCTCCTTCAATTTTGGGCCCCAGGCATCTGGCCTGGCCCTATTAGGAGGAGCAGTGAGCAAACAGTAGGACTCCAGGGTGGGTTGAGGTCAGGTGCTAGAAAGCTGTGAGTACAGTGTTCAGGAGCTTAGATTGTATTTCACAATTGGCAGGGAACCATGGAGGTTTGGGGGGGCAGGGAGTGATTAGATCAGAGGAGTTGACTGTGGACAGGGTGGCAACTAGTTAGGAGGGTCTCAAAGTTGTCTGGGGAGAGGAGTATCTGGACTAGAGGAGTCTTAAAAAAGGAAAGAACTGATGCTAGCGACTTCCTTAAAGAACCTCCAGAACTTGGTGCTAGGATACCAGGCAGAGAAAGAATCTTGGTAACCCAGAGAATCGTGAGGCCTTTCCTAGAAGTATGCACATCCATTGGAAGCACTGACTGCTGGCAAGCAGGAGAGAAGGAGCTGGCAAGTTTAATCACATTGCACTTGAAGTGATGGGCCTGGGGCAGCCAAGTCGTCCTGGCAGAGAGTTGCAGTTTTGGAGTCTACTGGAAAGAGGGGGAATGACTGAAGTCTTGCACGCTGGCTTTGACAGTTCTTTGTCCTGTGAGAGCCCCCACATGCCTGGCTTTGTGGAGTTACTTAGCTGTGTCCCCAAAGCATGGCAGGCCCCTTGCTTGGTCGCCTGACCCGTTCTTCCCCTTTCTCCTCAGCCTCCCCTCAGACCAGACGCTTCCTCGCCAGGGTCCTGGCCAGCCCCTGTCCTTCCCAGAAAACTACCAGACTCTTCCCAAGAGCACCAGACACCCGTCCGGGGGCTCCTCGCCCCCTCCCCGCAACCTGCCGAGTGACTATAAGTACGCACAGGACCGAGCCAGCCACCTGAAGATGTCCAGTGAGGAGCGCCGGGCACACCGGGATGGCACCGTGTGGCAGCTCTACGAGTGGCAGCAGCGCCAGCAGTTCCGGCACGGCAGCCCCACCGCCCCCATCTGCATCGGCTCCCCGGAGTTCACCGACCAGGGCCGGAGCAGGAGCATGCTAGAGGTGCCCCGCTCCATCTCTGTGCCTCCGTCTCCCTCGGACATCCCTCCCCCGGGGCCCCCGAGGGTTTTCCCACCCCGGCAGCCACACATGCCAGCGGAGCGGGTCACTGTGAAGCCACCAGACCAAAGGAGGAGCGTGGACATCTCTCTGGGGGGTTCTCCCAGGAAGGCTCGAGGCCACGCCATCAAGGTGAGGCTCTGGGCGCTCTGCCAGGCTGCTGGGGTCCAGCAGTAGGGGCACTGGGAGCTCACCTGATTTGAACACAAATTTGAGCAATTCGGGATAATAGTGATGGCTAACAGTTTTGCAGTACTTTTAGATGCCAGGCGTAGTTCTAAAGGCCTTGCTTTAATTCTTACCACCACCCTATGAGGCAGGTGCTATGCTTATGCCCATTTCACAGATGAGAACTCTGAGGCATGGAGAGACAAAGTAACTTGCACAGGGTCACACAACTAGAAATCTGCTTCCTTGCAACTTAGACGGCAGGAAAAGATGTCTGTGTTCAATCAGTTCAGTTATTTATAACAACCCAACCTAAGTTATAATTCTCCCAGAAGCTTTCACAGTTTAGCGTTGTTATACCCCCATGAGGAAGGTGTGTGTCCCCATTTCACAGATGAGACATCTGAGGCTCAGAGAGGGGAAAATAGCGAGTGGTAGGCTTCCCAGGGCGTGGGTGGCAGGGTGCCTGGCCCGGCCATCAGTGTGACTGCTTGTCTCCCCGCCTACAGAACGCCTCTCACATAGACCGCCGCTCCATGCCCTCCATGGGTTACATGACCCACACAGTCAGCGCTCCCAGTTTACATGGAAAATCGGTAAGCAGCACCTCATCCCCCTCCAGGTGAACCATATGATATAGCCTACTAGGCCCCATGTCATCTGGTGTTTTCCTTCCTCTGAGCCAGTCAGATGCAATCTGCAGGGCAGCTATCAACCCCCATTCCCTTTATATATGTAAGTTTTTATGTATTTTAATTTAAAGAGGTTTATTCTGAGCTGAATGTGGGTGACTGGCCCAGAGCACATGGCCTCAAGAGGTCCTGAGAAAACATGCCCTAATCTCTATTTTAGAGATGAAGAAACTGAGAGGCTCAGAGAAATCGAATGACTTGCTCAGGGTCACCCAGCTGGCATTGGGTCCTCCCACATTAGGTGAAGAGCTTGGGGGGAAGCGTGGGGGAATGTTGGACTTCTTTTGAGTAGAATTTTGCTGGGCACATTTTCTAGCCACCCATCCTTTCTCCTGTTAGCTCTGCTCGTTTCTTCCCTGCTCTTTGCTTTGAGTAGTTAACTGTTATCTTCAGAGCTCGAGTCTGGGTGAGGTTGCACTGTTGGTTGTTGCTTTCCTGAAAAAACAACTTCCCGCAGCCCCTTTGCTTCCAGTGCCTTTATTTGTCCTCGTGACAGAATTAATGTAATAATTGCTTAACAGTGTCACGTCAGTGCTGTCCCGGCACTGGGGTGAAGAATGTAATTATAGCGGTGTGCCCCTGCGGTGGCTAACTTCCTCGTGCTGTGTCTACACACCTGCAGCTGGAGGAGCTCTCGTTGCTTCTCTCCCGGTTACGGCGGCACCAGGCCAACTTGGCCAGTGTGCGAAATTTCGCCGTATTAACAGTGTCACGTCAGTGCTGTCCCGGCACTGGGGTGAAGAATGTAATTATAGCGGTGTGCCCCTGCGGTGGCTAACTTCCTCGTGCTGTGTCTACACACCTGCAGCTGGAGGAGCTCTCGTTGCTTCTCTCCCGGTTACGGCGGCACCAGGCCAACTTGGCCAGTGTGCGAAATTTCGCCGTGGGCCAGTTACTGCAGCACCAGCTGGCCTTTCCCACCTGCCAGGTCAGCGCTGGTGGGCCCTCTCGGGGCCGGGGCAGGGGAGTGACATGCTGGCTCGTGTTCTCTCGTGCCCGTGCTCTAGTCTGTCTTTGCTGTCTGGCTCCCTCGCTCACTCCCTGCCTGTTGCTTCTGGATGCTCCTGCCAGACCTGTGTGGTGGTGGTGGAGCCCGCCCCTCTGGCGCTGGGGAGGAGGGCTGCATGTGGTGGGAGATTGTCGCTTCTCTGGCTGTAAGTAGTTACTGACAGACTGGTGTGTGGTCATGTCCAAAGGGCTTGTTGCCACCGTGGGCACTCCTTGAGATGCTGCAAGGCATGTGTGGGCCAGCCCAGAGGGAGAAGGTGGGGTGCCACCTCTTATCTGGACAGTGCCCTGCTGGCTCACAGAGCATCCTCACATCTCGTATCCTGCCAAACCTCACAGTAAGCTGAGAGAGGTTAGTTAGGATAGGAGTTATGACCACACCCAAGGCCAGTGGATCCAGAAGGGGAGGTGACTTGCCCAGGATCCCTCAGCTAGCAGCATGCAGACAGAGCCAGATCCAGGTCCTGTCTGGCACCGTGCTCTGAGCTGTTTCCAGGACATCGGGCTTTGCAGGCAAGCTCCTCGAGGACTGGCCAGGGAGTTGCTCTCCCTGGCATATTGAGAAGCTTAAAAGAAACTGATTCTTCCCTGAGGCTGTCCTCTGGCAGGAATAGGCTCAGCCACATGAGGCTGGTCTCTCTAGGCTGCACAGAGATAGGCAGGGGACAGATGAGGAGGGTGACAGGACTATCACCTTCCTTCCCTGCCCTGTTGTAGTGAGTTATGAGGGACTCAGGAAATGTATTCAGAAAAATGAATATAAGTGCAAAAACCGTAAGTTGTGAATCTGGGTGATTTTTAACAACATTGCTCTGTCCTTACTCCTGTAGAATATGTGTAGGGACTGGGCTGATTGGGAAAGTATGGATGGCTAAGAGGACAGTTTAAAGACAGAAATAAAACCTTGCAAGCCACTAGTGTTCCTGACAATGGTCCTTCAGGCCCTCCTATGCATAAAAGCACCACCTGAATGTCTCATGTGGTTTGTTTGTGTGGTCGTCCTACCTCAGGGCTGTCAACAAGGACCACCTTCCCCAGCCCTGGCTTGCTAGCCTGGGAGACCCTCTTAGTCTGTAGAGAAATTGGCACCTGGGCCATTTTCCTTAAGCTTTCACAGCCCCGCTGCCTTACATTTGGCTGCTATTATCTACTACACGGGAAAGCATGAGTTCTCAAAGCCAAAGAGTCTCTTCCTTATTTTCCCTGCTTCTGGTATTTGTACTGAAGAACTTGACAAACTGTCAGAGATGCCACAAGCCAATAGGTCTGACCTGGAAGCTCCTCAACTAGCTCCCAACATGGCTCTATTGGCTCCATACTTTTAGAGGCTGCTGGTGCTTATTGTTCTAGAACCCAGGGTCATATTTGCAATCTTCTGGGTCACCGAGGTCCTCTCCCTGCCTCTTCTAGGCATCCATGCATACCAATCAGGGTCATCTTACTTCATGCATGTGAAGTGACCCCGTCCAAAGGTTTGATGAGAAGAATTAGAGCATTGGTACTAATGGGCCCTAGCTCAGGTTTGGCATGTGCTCTTCCAGGCAGACTTCCCAGTTCTGTCCCAGGAGTGCCGCCCCCACCTTAGCTGCACTGCTGCCCCAGCACTCAGTGGGATCCTCCCTGCCAAACTGTCCCCGCAGCCAGTGGGGGGCAAGCTGGCTTTCCCCATGGTGACCTGCAAGACCTGCCATGCTGAGAGAGGGCTCTGAGCTGCACCAAGACATTTGTGCTTCCTCCGTGGCCCTGGATGTGCTGGTCTGCTGTGGTCTTTTGTCCCTCAAGCTGCACAATGTAAATGACTCATACATGAAACCCCGAGTTTTGTAAACTTTTGGTATTCATGACTGGGTTTTTCCCCCTCTCTCTGTTCCTTTGAAGGCTGATGATACCTACCTCCAGCTAAAGAAAGACCTGGAGTACCTGGATCTAAAGGTGAGTGACATCAGGGGTCCTACCTTCCTTGGACACTCACCTTACTGAGAGTGTCACCTCAGTGGAGCTGAGTCCGAGGGCCACATAGGTCTTGTCAAATCTGGATCACACGTGAAGACATCTCCTGTTTCTATCTGAAGAATCTATTTCTTGTAGCTTCAAACTCTGACTTCTCAGTTTCTTGTGAATTTTGTGAGATCTCTGGCTTAAAGAATGAGGGCATAAGACCTGACTCTCTTTCTTCCCTTGGTTAGAACCAAAAGCTCCCTCCAAAAATAAGTGATTGTTTCTTCAAAGCCTCCAGTGGGATGGTGTGTGTGTGTGTTCGATTCATAGGGTGCCACGGATGTGAGTTTTCAGCCACCAAGGAGGATGGAGTGGTATGGTGGGCCCTTCGGTTTTGTTGCTGGGGGAGCACATTCCACGTGGAATCACATGGCTTTGAGGCTCACCAGTAGTCTCCCATTTCCATCTAGGAGATGAACGCTGGGCCCCTCTCTATAGGTGATAAAGCTTCATGCTCTAAATCAGCCTTCATAGCAAAGAGAGAACCCGCAAAAGCCCCTGCAGGCGGGAGAGGCATTCTGCCTGAAAGAGAGTGCTATTGTTCCCTTCCCACCGCTCTCTGAAAGCTCCCACTGTGAAAAGCACTTCTTACGCCTGAGCCATGAAACAGACTAGAGGAATGTGACCTTTACTCAGCTGTGGGTCTGAGAGGGTGGGTGAGGGGCCCGTGGGCCACCCAGGTGACTGCCACAGGGGCATGCCTCCCCACAGTCCCCAGTGTACATGGCCGGAGAGCTTTTAAACACAAGGATCTCCATGCAGCCTCCTAGAAACGGGGCTATGAATATCAGGACCTGAGGCAGCACGTGGGAGGAGCCTCCCCATGCTGAGTTGAAATCGAGACCATTGATTATAAACCAGCCAGTGCAGTTCTGTATCTGTTGAACACTTGTTCTGTACCCAGTTCTGCAAAAGACATGGGGAAATGCAAGAGAAAAATTGGCTCTCTGGTCTTGAGAAATCTCCAAATAATCTGGGTTGAGAAAAGAAATATCCGCAAATAACAGACATGTATAATGATGATATGAAGATCTCTTTGGCCCAGTTCTCAGAGCTGAGATGGTGAGAATTACTGTGGGCTGCAGTGCTGGGAAGGCTTCTGGGAGGAGGTGGCATGCATGTGGTGCCTTGAAGAGCCAGAGGGTTGGATTGGTCGAGATTAAAAGGGAAGGCAGGACATGGTGGTGTCGTGAGGGCAGTAAGGATTAGGGGGGTAACAGCAGAGGATGCAGGCTCCTGATTCTGTCCTAGGCTTTAGGAGGGGAAGGTACAGTGAACAAAAAGTCAGACCTGGCTTTAGGACATGAGGAGAACAAGGAGCATTCTCTCCAGACCAAGAGGTTTTCCAGCTTACCTGACAGGTCATGCAGAGCTTAAGGGAATATTCTAAGTATGGATACTTAGAATTCCTTAGGATTCAAAGTGCTCAACCATGGCTGTGTGGGCTAAATGTGGCAGCTCAGCCAGTCCTCCTGCAGCCTGTTGGGAGAAGCAGAGTCCTTCCTACCATGCCCATGGAGAGAGATCCACCAGCCCTGAGCTTCCACCCACCCCGGGCAGTACCACGTCCCCATTCCTTGACCTCCCTGACGGTCAGTCACCAGCTGCCTGGACAGTTCTTTCTCACCTCTACCCCGGGACCTCACGGTCAGCCCAGACGTACCTATAGAGTTACCCACGTTGTACCTGGGCCTATGGGAGGGCCTTATCTCACCAACAGCACAGGTGTACCTTGAAACACAGGTGTATCAGAGTACTTTGTGCACAGTGTCAGAGAGAACTTAATAATGTACCTGAGCAAGAGTAGCGGAAAATATCTGTCTTCTGATTCCTGCTTGTATGTGATAGTGGAAACTCAGCATTGGTCCAACAGTGAAGCTCCACCTCAGGTTTTTTTAAATTCAGGATCATAGAATTTGAGCTACAAGGGATTAGAGAGAGAGAAACTGAGTCACAGGATAGCAACACTAGGAGTCCCTATGTATCCCGACTCCAACAGAAGCTTACTAACAATAGGGTGTATAATGTGTACCAGTCGTTGCGTCGTCTCCTTTTTTTTTTTTTTTTTTTTGAGTCAGAGTCTCACTTTGTTGCCCAGGCTAGAGTGAGTGCCGTGGCATCAGCCTAGCTCACAGCAACCTCAAACTCCTGGGCTCAAGCGATCCTACTGCCTCAGCCTCCCGAGTAGCTGGGACTACAGGCATGCACCACCATGCTCGGCTGATTTTTTCTATATATATTAGTTGGCTAATTAATTTCTCTCTATTTATAGTAGAGACGGGGTCTTGCTCTTGCTCAGGCTGGTTTCGAACTCCTGACCTTGAGCAATCTGTCTGCCTCGACCTCCCAGAGAGGTAGGATTACAGGCCTGAGCCACCGCACGCAGCTTCATTGCGTTTTCTGTTGAATTACTTAACTCCTGTAGTAGCCCTGTAAGGGAACTGGTGGTATCATCTTTTAACTGTGTCTCAGAGAGGTAAATGACTTTCCCAAGGCCACGCAAGCAGTTGCAGGGATTGGTGTTAGGCTCTTCAGCACTTTGCCACATGGGCTTTCTTAAAATGCCGTTTCTACTGCTATGGACCCAGAGACATTAAGCTTTTCATGGAGCCAGGCTTGGGTCATTATGCCAAGAAATGTGTTTTATGGGATACAGAGAGACAAGTTGCATCCTTGGGGTGTTTTACTAGCTAGGAGCTGTACATGGTCAGAACATTATCTAGTGATTTGGACTTTTTGGAAGTTGTCATTATTTGTCATCAAAAATAGCTGTGTTGTTACCAAAATTTCCTTGTTCTTGTAGCTGCTACTCAAGTTACTAAGCTCCTCTTAGAGAATTAGTCCCCCAGATGAACTGCCTGCTCCAGCAGCCTAGGAGAAGGCTGGCTCACCTGCTGCATGTGTGAGAAACACGCTGGGGTTTGTGCTCAGTGTGTGTCATCAGTCTGACATGACCACCAGAAAGGCCGGCTCCACTTCCCCCAGCCACCCAGCCTCCATCAGCCTCCCTCAGAGGAGCAGGGGACCCAGATCAGGAAGGAGGGGTTCTTTTCTGCCCTGCTCAGACCCTGCTGGGGTATAGGGTTCCAAGAGGGATGTCACACTTCAGAAGGCACACGAGGGAAGGGCTGGAATCAGGGAGGAGAAGTGTTGAGGGCCTGCAGACCCATGGGTGGGTGTGACAGGTGGGGTACCTTTGTTTGCAGGTTCTGAAGTCCAAATCAACCTGTAAATAAAAAGGGAATATACCAACACACATAGCCAGGGGCTGCATTCAAGGAGCTTAGGCCACATGTCACTGTTCTACTTTTCCTTGGTGTGCTAGCCTCCTCCTTTCTTGGGGAACAAGGGCCACTTTGACACAGGCAGGGAAGGTGGCCACCTGCCAACCCAGGTTTGCTTCCTCACCACCCAGCATCCCATGGAGCAAGGGACGAGTTTCCTAATGGGGAGGCATGCTGGGCAGGGAAAAGAAACAGCAGCAGCTGGCACAGCTACAGTGCAGAGTGATGGAGTTAGGGACAATTCAGGAGAAGCGTAGAGGCAGTCTGTAAAGCTCTGGGATGTCACCATGTGTTTAATTCCCCTAAAGGGGAATTAAGTAGATGGCAGCTACAAGTAGATAAGTTTGAGTTTAATAAAGACTTTTCTAAGAGGACCACCTTGGGTTGGGGTGAATTCCTATTACTGAGATATAACAGAGGCTAGATGAGACTGAGTGGGATGGGTGTTGGATTAGGGACACAATCACAATTGAATGGGCCCTGTAGACCACTCTGGGCATAAAACAGAGGCAAGCACAGCCCCCTGGACCAGCTGCTTGTGAGAGGTCCCTCCCCAGTCCTGGGGGAGGGCGGTGAGTGGAGATAAGGCTCCTTGGAGGAGGAGCCTCCCTGCATCTGACTGCTCCCTGCCCCCACTGTGCTGGCTCAGGGTCCCCATGTCCCTGTCCCAGAGGCCATCAACTCAAAGATCCAGAACCCATCTCTTCCTCTGATCAACTGATGCTCAGTTTCCACAATCAGTCGGTGGCGTTTGTTTCCTTACATGTTGTGGAGCTTTTTCTTCCTGAAGTAAGCGTTCCTTGGTGGTGCCAAGTGATCAAACAAGGCCACACTCCACTCTCTTTGAAGACACTTACGTTAATGGGTTTCTTTGGAAATCTTTACTTCCCTGGCATTTTACTCAGTGGTGCCAGGGTGAAAAGGACTCCACATTGATTAAGCATCTGTTCCTGCCTGGCAGTATTTGGGCATTTAAAGTTCATGTATCTTATTTAATCCTATGAGCAACCTTGGGCAATAGGAATTATCCCTATGTCATAACCAGGAATCCAAGTATTAGAGAAGTTAAGTAACTTCCGCAAAGTTACACAGCTGGAATTTGGACCCAGTGACTGACTTTACACCTGTCTTTCTTTTTCCATATACTATGTGCTTTGTCCACCCTAAAGTTGTATTTGTTGAATTGTATTTCTGGCATTGAAATTCCCATCTTTAGAACCTTATACCTTAGCTGGGTGAGAAGTGTGGGATGTAGGGGTTCACTGTTGTTGACAGCATGAACAGCTGGGAAGGTGAGGTACAGGAGGGTACCTGCTGCCACTCAGGTGGGTACCCTTTGTAGGTAGAGAAGGTTGCAGTCAACCTCAAAGAGGTCTTTATCTCTGGTGAGGGAGGTGCCATCAGTGGTTCCAGGTCTATTAGACTCTGGCCTCATCCTGACTATTTGAGCCCAAGGTCAGGGCTTTTCTGCTCAGGGTCTGTTTCCACCAGCTTCTGAGGCAGCTCCTGAGACAGAGTTTCTTAAGTTGTGATTGGGGATGCCACCTACTGGATCACCTGGGAACTTGATTTTAAAAAAATGGGGATCTGCCAGCCTGGGCAAAAGTGAAACTCTCTCTCTATAAAAAGATAGAAAAATTAACCAGGCAT